CAGACCTGAGCTTCTGAAGTTGTATCTTCTGAAAAATAAGCAAGACAGACCTTCTCAGCCCTTCAGGTGGTCAGGGTCACTCTGTTAGGTACACAGACTCTAATTACGTTAGATATTATCTGAATTAAGAGCTCCAGGGAAGCAAGGAACAACGTGGTGGAAAGTGGTCCTGAAGCTCGTGCAGGAGAGATCACCAGTTAGCGTAATGGCTATGTCGCTGGATTCCCAGGTAGTTAACCATGGTTTGAGTCCCAGACCCTGTGGCTTAAAACTGACGCCGGCCGTGTGTGCGTGCGTGCCCAAGAGCCCAAGAGGAGAATAGAGGAGAAGGGATTGTGGCGTGGCCATCCCCCCTGGGGGGTGATTTCCCGCTTTCTGTCTCTCTGTCTCTCTCTGTGTTTCTGGTGAGCGCACGCGTCCTATAGCAAAAACCTCTCAACAAAGAAACAAACAAACCTCACACAGGAAAGTGAAAGTGCGCTTACCGACTCACTCAGCAGCTGGATGGCAGCTCCCTGGCACTGTGGTGAGCCGTTAGACACCATCTCCTCCTCGTGGAGCTGCCAGACGAACTGATTACCTTGAGTGGAGTAGGGAGCGGGGTGGGCATCCTTCATCTCCATTTTCTCCTGTATGTCTCCAGAACGGAGGTTCCTCTGCATCCCAACTGCCAGTGACTGAGATCAGTGCCTTGTCATTTTTATCACTTTTTACCTGGGCACCCCAAAGATGGCCACCTGACAGATCCTTTTTTCCCCAAGGCTTATCATCTTCAAGTCATCGTCAGCCCTTCTATGCAACTTCAGTCATGCCTTCTTTTTAACAGTGCTCATCGATTCCCGTTCACACCAGGAGGAGGTTCTCATTCGATAGCATGGCTCTCTATGTGGCCACAGCCTGTGCCGGATGCCTGCTGGCTGTCCTGGGTCCCTGAGCTCCAGCCGTACCCGACGTGTCACGGTGTGGAAGTACAGACTCGTGCTTCTGTGGCCCTCCGAGCCGAGCACCTGCTGTTCTTTTGTGCTAGACCCCCTTCCCCTCTTCACGAGCTACCTCCTTCCCTGATATGATTCCCAGGCAGAGTTGGATGTACCTGTTCTGAGTTCAGGTCACCCTGGAGTTACACCTCTCAATTCTTTTTGTTTTTGTGTTTGCCATAGGATGTGTGCACGGGACAGCTAGAGACAGAAAGAGGGGAGGTGAGAAATCACCCCCCAGAGAGCCACATCATCCCTACTTTTCCATCCTCCTCAGGATTTTGGGCACACACACACACACACACAGTGTGGTGGTTTTCTTTTTTCTTTTCTTTCTTTCCTTTTTTAGAGATATTTTTGCTATAGGGCATGTTGTGCTTGCTGCAGAGACAGATAGAAAGCGAGAAATCACCCCCTGGTGGGGAGGATGGCCACGCCACAATCCCTTTTTTCTGAGAGGAGAATGGAGGGCATACATGCACATGCACCTGGCATGAGTTTCAAGCTGCTGGGTCCAGGGCTTGAACCTTAGTTGACCATGTGTGTGTCCAGCGATGTAACCATTACTCCATCTGCTGGTCCCCTGGCATGGTTTTCAAGCTTCTGAGTCCAGAACTGGAACCACTGTCTTCCATGTGGGAGCCCACGCCTCCTGCTGGCCCCACAACTCTCAGCTCTATCCTGGAGAACATTTAACTGCAAGGCTGTCTTACCTACCTGCAGCCATATACCTTGTGTGATTTAGAGAAGCACTTACCCCACAGCTCCTCCAGGATCCTTACTGCCTGAGATTCAGCAATTAGATACTCATTTCTTAAAATGTGTGTTCCCTTAACATATTAATATTCCCCAGAAAAAGGCAACCTCAGAGATAATAAATGTCTTTTGTCCTTTCCTGGCGTTGAAGGTTGTAAAGAGAGGAGTAGGAGCAAGAGAAGGTGCTGGTCGAGGGGAAAAGGCAGCTTCACACTTTTCCCTGGAGTTGCCACCTGCCTGAGACATGCTTGATGCTTGTCTTCCGATAGATTAGGCATTAATACTGCAGAGCGATGACTCACTTCTACTGATGATAGAGTGAAAGAAAAGGGTTTGAATTTTTGAGAGGGGGTTGATAATAGAATTTTGTAATTTACCCTCAAAAGAAAGATAGCTTTGCAATCCTAAAAGCAAAGTTATTTCAAAGTAAGCTCAGCTCTGTTGAAATATGCTCTTATGATTGGAGATGAGAAGGTCTGATAGATGATCTGTAGAACTCCCTGTGATTCTTTGGAAATGAAATGATGGGGAAATGATATGAAACAAACTTATCTTTGCCACAGAGCTCCTCGCTACATCACAGGCCTTGTTACTTACATGTAAATTACCTTGATAAAGTCGGTGGTGACTGATGCTTATGCTCACCAGCTGGACAAGTCTCTTAATGGAAGAGGTTTCAGATATGAAGTAAAGAATCGCTTTATTTAGATTTCTTACTTTGACCCATAGTCATTTTTCTTAACCTGCTGGAATTAAGACTGTGCTAATTTACACATAAATCATGATAACCTATAATGTAAAAAAGCAGCATATTTTTTTATCTAACGTGTACTCATCCCATCCTCATTGAATTTATTAAGCGTGATGTGAGGTAATGATTTGGCAAGGAGCTGATAAACTAAATCACATAAATGGATAAATCTTAGCCCCCGCAACTCTCCTATCCAACAAAGAAGGGTCAAAAGTCAGGGCCAATTTTCAGGGCGATTATCAGATGAACCTAGTTATTACTCAGGTTCCACTTCTTTAAAATCCTCACTGGGATTTGCCTGGATTATTCCAGGCCAAAATGCCAAGGGTTGCCTGAATCTCTGCAAGTAAACCAGAATGTCCTGCTCAGTCAGGCTGAATTTGAATCGAAAGTGAGGCCCGGGGCAGGTCGTCCTTCCTGGTACTTTCTTTACATTTATAAAACAAAGTTTAGGCTTGCACCTCCCTTCCGAGGTAGTTTCCCGTGCAGTCTTTTACTGCTTCTGCTTGGTATAGGTGTGGATAAAAAAAACACCAGATACAGCTCTGGGGCCGGTGTATCACATCTGGGGAGGGCAGAGTTTGCAATTCCATTTCAATTTTTCAACAGAGGTCTGAAAAAAAATAAGTTTATGTATTTGTGAATGTAAGGAAAAAGCTAACATAGTAGCCCCGCATTCCCAATTTAATTCTATGGGGAACATTTAAACCCCAGCTGGCTTTATAAGCAGACCTGGTCTCCTTCCTTCAGCCGGCAGTCCAAGCTGGAAGAAAAGTCTATTGTTGGTTCAGGCTAGACACAATGAGGTCTGCATGCCTTCATGCCTACTTAACAGCATTTACCATGTGGGAGACTTTTGGAAGGAGAAAAACAGGGCCAGTAAAAAGTGGAGAATGACCATTGAGGAGAAATGGCTGTGTACCAAGCAGCAACATCCTTGGTATGGTTTGGAGCTGTTTCCACAGTAAGGGTCAGGCTGAGGTGACTTCTCTCCTCATCACTTTGGAAGCAAAAACCTTAATGCAAAAACGTGGCCTTCTCAGCAGTGCGAAGCTGGGTGGCTGTCGTGTTCTGAAATCCCAGAGGGTGTGCATGCTTGTTCTGACTGTCTTTTCATTTGGTCGGGGGCCAGCAGTCGCTAGCTCACTCCTAATTATAACCCATTGCCTCTCAATGCGAAGAGCCTTTCTTTGAGTCGTGCAGAACTCTGACTTACAAGAAAGAGGCCCCTGTTGTATTTCAAATAGGAATTTACAAAAGAGACTTCCATTTACCTCGAATAAAGCCTGGTTTTATTTTTATTTTTGCAACCTTCGTCTTTTTCCTTACATTTCCTTTAAGCTTTTTGTTTGTTCATTCGTGGCTGATTCTAAAGTTGTTCTGTCTCCAAAAGGAGAGTTCAGCACCTACCTATGGTTTCGTGGGAACCGATCGCTCAGTCGTGAGAGTCTGGCGTGCTCTGTCCGGTGTAAGAGGAGTCTGGTCGCATGTGCCAGTGCCCCTTTCTATTGCTCAGCATGATTTGTCATCAGATATTTTAACATTATGTTTATTTGTTTACTCCAGGGGAGCATTTTCTTTATGTAAAATCATTTAAGCATTTTTTGATTTGCCTTGTCCTTCACACTTTGTTCATTTCTTTGTGAAAATTAAGAAGGGGGGCAGAGATGGAGGAAGTCGCCGGAACCAAATGATATAGTATTTTTAAAAGTTTATTTATTGGGACCAGCAGATGGACCCCCATGTAGTTGAACATGGTTCAAGTGCCAGATCTGGCGACTTAAAACTCACGCTAGGTGCATGTGTGTGCGTGCCCAAGATTCTGAGAGGAGAATGGAGAAGGGATTATGGCATGACTATCTCATCTAGGGAGGTGATGTCTCACTTTCTGTCTCTGTCTCTGTGTCTCCAGTGAGCACACATGCCCTATAGCAAAATTCTCTCTAAAAAAAAAAATGTTTGTTTATTTTATGAGCAAGAGAGAGAGAGAGAGAAAGAGAGGAGGGGAGATGGTATTCCTAACAGGCTCTTGATTCTGAGATCCACCCCCACCTCCAAGCAGCCCTGGATTATGGACAAACACATGTCCAGAGTATTCAGGGAGGCCACTGAATTTGAACCCAGGACCTTCCTCTGTGGGGCTGCCTTGCGAAGTGCCGTGTTTTACCACAGTACCACTGTCTGGCCTGTAACAGTATTTGTGATCACTGTCGCCTTCAGTAAACAGAGCCCTTGAGCTTTCCCTCTGTTCTCTCCTCCTAAAGAAGAAAAATCAATTCAACAGAGGTGTTTTACTCCTTCCTGACTCCATAGGAAATAGTTCTGGGCATTATCGGGATGTGACGATGACACCAAGCATTGGTGGAGTGAGGTGATGACTGGAGTTTAAGCCTTGTACCTTCTCTGCTCATTGCTGTGCTCAACTCAGTTTTCATGCCGTGTGCCTCAGTTGAACGAGCCTCCGTGGAAGCTCCCACACTGCCCGTCGCTCACCCTTGCCCTGTGTACATTTTCAGGAGTCCACTGTGACAGCGTGTGCGCCGAGGGACGCTGGGGTCCCAACTGCTCCCTGCCCTGCTACTGTAAAAATGGGGCCTCGTGCTCCCCCGACGATGGCATCTGTGAGTGTGCACCAGGGTTCCGGGGCACCACGTGTCAGAGAAGTAAGTGTCATTTCCGTCTTCCCTTCCTGAGCACTGCATGCTCTCTGTCCCACTCGGTTCACAGCCATGTTCTGCTGCAGTCACAGACAGGGCCGAGTAGGACAGGTCACCTGTCCTTTGCAGAATTGTCCTCAATAGCCCTTCTCCAGGAACTTCGTTTTCCAACCTTCAGGACCAACCTAACAGATGGGGCTTTAACCACTTCTTCTCAGTAGTGACTTCATTGCCTCATGGGCACCTTCATCAGGACTTTTTTTGTGTCCCTATTCTTCTTTAAAACTTGCAAATGGTGTTCCAGAAATTCATTGACCTGTAAATATTTTATTCAGCAATTTGGCATTGGCCTTACCTCAATTACCAGAAGTCAACATCAGCCAAACCTTGAGGCAAATCAGACATCCTGTCTTAAAGTCGGTGCTATGGGGAAATGGAATGGCACAGTTAAAATCACAGATCATTGATGTTGGTCAATAGAATTTTAAGTTAGGAAATGATCCATAAGATTTTATTAAATCTTTCAGTGAACATAATCCAGAAACAATGCATGACTAATTATAAGATATACCTTTGTATTCTAATTCTTTTAATTTGTCTTTCTTTGTTTTTCCCAGCAAGAACTATGCAGTCAATCCTGTAGTTAAATCCAAATCATGTCTTGGGGGGAATCTAAGTTCTGTTTATTCCATTTATTCACAATCATTAACCTGGACAGTCTTGAAGAAAGAAAAGTTTCTCATTTTGACCGTAGATTCATTTATGTGCTAGTAATGACTCTGAGAATAAAGGATGAACACTGCCCAGGAGAGCACTTATTTGGAACTTATTAGTATTTCAAAATGTGTTTTCTTCATTCTTGTATTAGTTCAATAATAATTCTTGGAGCCCAGGCTTCATGCCATGGCCTGAACTAACTGGGGCCTTAAATAGGGAAGATGAAAGGACTAAGACCCTCAGCAGCTCTTGGGGGGCTCAGCACTTGGTGGCTTCTTTTCCTTACTAAGAGGGCCCTTGTTCCTTTTGTGTTATCCTTGGAAAAGTCTTAGTATCATCTTTTTAAGATTTCTTTTTCTTTCCCCTTACCAAACTTTAACTAGATCCCGATGTGAGATGTGAGAGAAATGTATCTCAGAAAGATAACCATGCTGTTCCCTCCGTTTTCAGTCTGTTCCCCTGGTTTTTATGGACATCGCTGCAGCCAGACGTGCCCACAGTGTGTTCACAGCAGCGGGCCCTGCCACCACATCACGGGTCTCTGTGACTGCCTGCCCGGCTTCACGGGTGCCCTGTGCAATGAAGGTAAGGCATGCAGTGTATGGGAGGGATCTGTGTGATGAGCAGGCCTCGTGCAGTCTGGCCTGGGGCTTGCTCCTGGGTTTCTCAAAGGACAGGTTTTTTAGCTCCTGGTTGTGGGGACCTTCAGGTATGCTACGCGGCCGCTTCTGAAATGTGACTTTGAGCCTTGCCGGTTTGTTTTCCCGGCCAAGTTTCTTTATCTCTGAGCTATCCTACTCCTCAGTTTTAATTGGAAACCTCCTCCCATGAAAAATCAACATGCGGAAGGCTTTTGACTCCCGGAGCGAGAAGCTGTGAAATCAGGTTCTAGACATGTGACGGTGTCTCCTGGTTTGTGATGCCTTCATGAGGGTCTTTGGCTTCATGCGTTCATAAAAATGAGCCCATTCAAAATGAGGGATGCTGCTGAGTGGAGCCAGCTGCTAAGTGGGCGGGTGACCTTTAAAATCTTCTCCTGTCCTGGGAGTCTAAGGTTCTTTGAGATGGGTCGTGATGGTGAGTTACTGATCGATAGTTTATTTGCAGTGTGTCCCAGTGGCAGATTTGGGAAAAACTGTGCAGGAATTTGTACCTGCACCAACAACGGGACCTGTAACCCCATTGATCGATCCTGCCAGTGTTACCCGGGGTGGATCGGCAGTGACTGCTCTCAGCGTAAGTCCTGTTTGAGAACAACTGATTTGCTGTCCTGAACTGTTTTCAAAGTGACGTATGAGTGTTTCAAGAAGAATATATGACTATGGTGCATTCTATTTTTTTTTTTTTTTTTTTTTAACAGGACAAAAGCGTTAAAAAAAAAAAAATGTGGTATTATCTGTTGAAGATATTTTATAATTCTATCAACTGGACTAGGGAGAAATGTTCACCTGTTGAAATTTTCACTCTGTAAGCTAAATAATGTGATTGAATGTATAAAAGAAAATGAAATAAAAAATGAAAAAAATTAAAAATTAAAAAATATTGAAATATAACAAAGAATATATAATATATTAAGTTATAGGGAAATATTGAAAAGGTTTGGACATATACCCAGAGGCACTTTTTACTCATTTGATCAACCCCCCAGTCAGCTCTAAGATCACCCCTTGTTAGTGGTACCTGCTTTGTGAAAACACTATGAAAGCCCTAGTGGAAGAAGGACACACCTGTGAGTGTGTGTCAGAAAGTTCATGTACGGACCATGCCTGCCTCACCACAATCAGACACAAATCAGGTTGATAGTATTCTATGTCTGTATCAGTACAGGATAAAGGGCATATGTTCTAGAGCTATATTCATTATTCAGCTCCATAAAGCCATAATATTGAGAATTCTCTAGAACCCTTCAGGAGACCTGGGATTTGGCCATGTTTGAGCAAATGCCAGCAAACTGCTCATCAAATACAACATCAAGACAACAAACTTTAAAAACGAACCTGTATACAATGACAAGTATTGTGCTATGCATTTTTTCCCACTGAATAGATCAAAATATCCATCTGCTTAGAAGTCTTTGTCAAAAAAAAAATATAACTTTGTTGTATTTTTTTTTTTTTTTTTTTTTTTTTTTTTAAGAGAGAAATAGAGTTTTTCCTATAGGGCACGAGTGCTCGCTTGCCAGAGAGACAGAGACAGAAAGTGAGAAATTATCCCCCAGGAGGGGATGGCCATGCTGCAGTCCCTTCTCCTCCATTCTCCTCTTGGGCTCTTGGTCACATGTACACACATGCCCAGTATGAATTTTAAGCTACCGGGTCCAGGACTAGAACCCAAGGTCCACTACGTGGGAGTCCAGTGAGATAACCATTATGCCATCTTCTGGTCCCATGCTGCATTCTAATGTTTAAGTTCTGTTTTTCTAGTAAGAGCTTATGCAGTGTTCCTAAACAACCCAAATATGTAGCATTTTGATTACTCACTCCTCAGTGACTCGGCATCCACTGAATTCAAACGTATGTAGATGTGTGTAGAGGTTTGTATCTTCAGGTTGTGTTTATTTGCAGGGTTAATTATGGAGACATGAAGTAGACGTGAGTCTTAGAAATCTATTGGGGTCCCGAGCAGACTGCCCCTCTAACTGCAGCTTACATGCTTAACTTCCCCTCAGCTTCTCCCAGGTGTATCCCATACCACTGTATTTCAGACAGGAGTTGTGTGACCCTATGAGGGACTATATAAATGACTTAATTACCCATGTCAAGAAAAGATGATATTGACCATAAGTCATTGGTTAATGCTTTGAAGGGTCAGTGCAACTTTTTTTCCCCTTAAGATTTTTGCCATAGAGCACGTGTGTTCACTGGAGAGAGACAGAGTGAGAACAAGTGAGAAATCACCCCCTAGAGGGGATGGCCACATCACAATCCCTTCTCCTCCCGGGATTTTGGGCACTCATGCACACACACCGTGTCAGCATGATTTTCAAGCTGCCAGTTTTGAAACTTGAACCATGGTTAGCCATGCGGGTGTCCAGCATCTTATCCACCATGCCACCTGCTGGCCCTATGATCAGTGCAACTTCTAAATGTGTCCAGCCTTTGACCAAGGAAAAGCACAAGCACAGGGGTGATTTGGTTCTACTCACAGATATCATGGCACATCTTCAGTTTACATTGAGTCCACTCATCAAGCACATATGAGAAACCAAATCACCGTGTTCTGATTTTACATGGCAGTTTATTGACATTTAATTCACACTTCTCAGTTATAATCAATTGTCAAATCTTAATGGATGAGCAATGTATTTTGCCCAGAGATTTTTTTTTTTTAAGTTTTTGTTTTTGTATGCTGTAAGGCACATGCATTCACCAGAGACAGAGAAACAGTGAGAGGGAAAGTAAGAAGTCTCCCCTAGGGCCAGCAGGTGGTGTGGTGGTTAAGGACACCGGACTCCCATATGACCGACTACAGTTCAAATCCCAGGCCTGGCGGCTAGCTTTTTCACTTTCCCTCTCTCTTTCTCTCTTGCTCTGTCCCTCTCTGTCAAATTTAAATAAATATTTTTTTTTTTTTAAAAAAAAGGAGTCACCTCCCCCAAGTGGGGATGGCCACACTGTACTCCCTTCTCCCATATTTTCTCCCTAGGATTTTAGATGTGCATGCACACATGCCTAGCATGATTTTCGAACCATTGGGTTCAGGACTTGAACTGCAGTCAACCACGTGGGAGCCCAGCTCCTTAACCACCATGCCACCCTCTGTCCACACCCAAAGCTTTTATGTAATGTTATTTATCATAAGTGTCTCAGGCGGTACTCTATTTCTGAGGAATAAGGAAGCATAGCCAATACATCTTAGAAGTATGCTGTTTAGTGAAAGAGTCTTAATAGATTTAATTTCTGCTATGTGTATCACCCTATTTAAAGGGCATCACTTCAGAAGTAACTCCAGCCTGTTTAAATCTAACTGTGCTGGGACCAGCAGTTAGCGTAATGGCTATGTCGCTGGACTCTCATGTAGTCGACTGTGGTTCAAGTACCGGACCCGGTGGCTTAAACTCACGCAGGGCACGTGTGCGTGCGTGCCCAAGATCCCGAGAGGAGAATGGAGGAGAAGGGATTGCAGCATGGCCATCCTCCCTGGGGGGTGATTTCTCGCTTTCTGACTCTCTGTCTCTCTCTTTCTGGCAAGTGCACGCTCCCTATAACAAAAACCTCTCCAAAAAAAAAAAAAAAGTCTAGCTGTATTGTAAGAGCTCTAACTAGTTATTTGGACAGTTTGAATGATAGATACTGAAGGGGGCTTAAGAGAAAAAAGGTCTAATATAATTGTCATAAAATGATTGATACTCTTTGCTCCTTTTTAAAAGCACTCTTTATTTTGAAAGTCGGTCACTTCCTCATCTGGAGGAGGGGTTCACTGGAAAATCCAAAAACAAGAACACCACTGTGAATGGAGACTGTAGTGCTGCCCGCCCCCATAGTCACCCCAAAGGAAGCTAATTTATTTTACAAATGCCTTCACTTCTCTTGGGGGTCGTCAGTTTCATTGATTTCCATAAGGACTCTATGGAACCATCTTAATATTTCTTCTTGGCCGATCATCAGCCTGCATAAAAAGAGAAAAGTACTTCACTGTGAAAACAGACTTTAAAGAATTAAGGGGTTGCATTTAAAGGGGCAGGTGTCCTTCCTAGCAAAATGATGTTTTAAAGCCTTCTCTCTACATTTACCTTTTGGGAATATCAAGTTAAGTGATCCGTATTCCCCTTCTCAGCATAACCAGGGTAGGGAGGAAAGCCTAATCCATGTAGGCTAACCTAGAAAAATGTGTTGTGGACATAGAAGGGTTTATAAACGTTCACTGAATATTACCTAAGGAATAAGCGGTTTCAGCTAAGGAGTACTCCCCTTCACGTGAGGTGGGCTTGGTACTTCAGTTGTTGCCCTTGAATCTTGCTGCGGCTTTAAAAGAGAGAAGCTGTATTTACCTAACAAATAACAAATAGTAACATTAATCTGCACAACCTTGGACAAGTCTCTATTAAGCTTTTTTAAAATTTCAGTTTCTTCTTCTTTAAGACAAGGGCACTTTATTTCAAAAACTCACTGTAATGTTCATAGCAAACTTTAAACTTTAGCTCTTATTTTCTTTTCCTGATAGGAAAGAAGGGCATACACAATTATGGGAGCTTTTTTTTTTTAATTTATAAAATTACTGTATATGGATATATCGTCTTTATTGGCCATATTCCTTACTTACTAGCCAAATAGAAATTACAGGTAGTCTTCCTTATATGCAATTATGTTCCTGAAGCATTTGTATGAAAAAAGTATTATTTATTGAAAATCAAATTATTTTACCTCATGATATTCCATTTTTATTTTGCAGATAACTTAAATTGACTTTCTGATTGTTCTTTAATTGGTTGTACTCCCTAATGATTTAATTTCATTACTTTCTTCCTCTTCTAGTTAAGAGTTTTATGAGTTAACTCATTCTTATCTATAGCCTGGAACCTTAACATTTACATCCAGCCTATAGTGACAACTCTGGAATGGAGTGACAAGTGCGGGATTTAGAAATCAAAGACGTGAATTAGATGAGTTTAGATCTTGTAACCTCCCTTAAGTCAAATCCTTTTTCCCATCTTCTCTCTGTCAAATGTTTTGTCCTCAGAGAGGCTTTTTTAAAAGAAATAACTCCCATCATTTTTGCCCCTCATTCATATTTTTCCATAGAAATTATCACCAATGTTTTGTCAGGTAGTCTGTTGGTTGTTTGGGTTGTCAGCTGGTTTGCCTGCCTTCCCTACTAAGATATAAGCTTCTAGAAAGTGGTTTGGACTTTGTCTTGTCCTCTGCTAGCTCCCCCTTGCCTAGGACAGGTTGAACACTTAGCAGATGTTGAATATGTTTGGTTAATGCCTGAGTCTTCAGGCTTGAGATGACTTTTGCTTCCCCCACCCGACATTGCAGCTCTGAAAGGGGGTGTCTGTAGTAATGATGGCTGTTGTTGCGGTCAGCATTGCCCTCTGGGTCTGAGCCCAGAATTCAGGGTGGGATGCTTTCTTACTTCACACTGCTCACCTCTCACTCACGAGAAGATGGATAGGGGTGGATGGAGTTCTGTCTCTTCGGTGCTGGCCTCAAAACACTAACCTCTCTATGCTTGCTGTGGTTTCAGCATGTCCCCCTGCCCACTGGGGCCCAAACTGTATTCACACCTGCAATTGCCACAACGGGGCCTTCTGCAGCGCCTATGACGGGGAATGTAAATGCACTCCTGGCTGGACGGGGCTCTACTGCACTCAGAGTAAGTATCTTCCGAGGTGGGCCAAGGGGAGCCTCTCCCAAGAAGAAATAGCCTTACCCTTCGTGTGCAGAGTTGAGCTTACTGGGGCCCTTGGCATTGGGATGTCTCACCGACCTAAGGACCTCTAGACATCTACATTTCTCTCAGTGGTTAAGAGCTACCATGTTCCAAATGCTCTGACTCTCAGTTACATCCAACGCTGAGGTGGAGCTCTGCATAGGTGATGGTGTGCAGTTTTTTCCTTCTCTCCTTTAGCCAAACCTTATTTACATGGATCAACTTCTAATCATTTATTCGAGTGGCACAAAGCTTAGGATAAGTGATAGAGATTAGAAAGGTGTGAAAATAAGCCTCACCCCCTTTCTTAATAGGATCTTTTGGAGAAGATGGAGTTCAGTGGTTCTCCACCTTCAGTGGGCTTCAGAATCTCTGGGAGGGGTAGCCAAACACGGACGCCTGCCCCACTTCCAGAGTGTCTGATCCGGTAGGTCTGCAGTGGGACCTTAGAATCTGCATTTCTGTCAACTGGTGGAAACTCCAGTCCAGAACCATACTTCGAGAACCACTGCTCGACTTCTTTTTCCCATTTTATTTTCCATAGCGTCCTAACCATTTTTCCCTGATGAGGGTTTTAGCATCATAGAATACTCCACAGATTGGCACTGATGGGGAAAATTAATTTTTCTCTGCCCTCTTGCCTTCAATGGAATGAAGCAGACAAAACAGGAAGATATAAATTATGGCTAATATTAATAATAACGTAACTTACAGTCATGAGAACGAGCTAGGAAAGGAAGATGGATCCAAACTTACACGATTTACATTTAATAGTAATTAGAGAACATAGGCTGAACAAGTCTTTTGGACGGTTCTAGAAGAGACTATAGACCTTGAATAAAGATTTAGAGTGAAGAACTGGCAAGGAAGAACGTTGTCCCAGGGAATATTATGCAGGGATTGTATTTCTAGAATGATGTTTTTAACTCCTTAGAGAAAACTACTTCTATTATTTATAACTCTAAAATTAGGGCTTGATTCAAACAGAGCCTTTTTAAATACAAGCAGGATGATTTCGTGGGGATAAAATGGGCCTGGGGCCAGACCTCCCTCCGAGAGTATGGTGACCTTGTCACCCTGCTGTTTGCTAGCTGTATGAGTTAGAGAACTTAAGGCTCAGCTCCGACCCATCACACGGCGTAGCCATCATGGGGGTTCTGGGAGATTAAATGAGAGCATGCGTGAACAGAATCTGGCACACAGTAGGTGCTGAGTAAACGCAAGACAGTGGGAATCGTCCTTGTGTAGTGGCATCTATGTGCTGCCTCTGCTTCTTGGAAGTTGGACTTTCATGAAACCTGATCATGAGAAAGCTAGGACACAAAAAAGCATGTGTTCTATTTGGAAATAACCACTGAACCAGCCTGTCCTGGTGCTTCCCTGATGCAGACAGCCCTGAAACACTCTTGAAGGCAACTGCTAGCCCATGAAGGCCAACAGAGCTTGCTCATTGCTTTAGCCCAAGGGTCTTGGTGGTGGAAGTCTCGGAAATCGCACAGCAGTGGGAAGGATGAACTGCTTTGTACAAAGCACCTGTGACGTTCAGTGGTGTTTAATTTTTAAGCATTCTATCTTATGTTTTTATTGCCAGAGAGAAAAGCACCCCTAACAGGGCATGCTTTTTCCTCCATTTTTCCATCTCATCAGGATTTGAGGCATACTCACATGTGTCTAGCATTTTTTTTTCTTTTTTTCTTTTTTTGGAGCGGTGTTTGCTATAGGGTGCATGCGCTTGCCAGAAAGACAGAAACAGAGAGACAGAGAGCGAGAAATCACTCCCCAGGGGGGATGACCATGCCACAGTCCCTTCTCCTCTATTCTCTTCTCAGGATCTTGGGCACACACACACACACGCCCAGTATGTGTTCAAGCCACCGGGTCCGGGACTTGAACTACAGTCAACTACATGGAAGTCCAGCGACACAGCCATTACGCTAACTGCTAGTCCCTCTAGCATTTCTTTTTCTAAGCTGTTGGGGCCAGGATTCAAACTACAGTTATCCCTGAATGCTCTAGTTCCCAATGAACTGCAGTTAAGCACTGCACTACACAGGGCCGACTCCAAGCTAAAAAGCATTCTACCACACATCTCTGGAGAAGGCGATAATGCTGTCTAAGTCGGTAACTGATGGAGTACACAGGCTAGCAGTGTAGCCGGAGCTCTTCTGTCCTGCAAGGAGGAGCATACAGGTGATTTCGATATAAGCATTCATTTTAATCCATGGAATTTGAGTCCAGGATGATGTTTTTAACTCCTTAGAGAAAACTACTTCTATTATTTATAACTCTAAAATTAGGGCTTGATTCAAACAGAGCCTTTTTAAATACAAGCAGGATGATTTCGTGGGGATAAAATGGGCCTGGGGCCAGACCTCCCTCCGAGAGTATGGTGACCTTGTCACCCTGCTGTTTGCTAGCTGTATGAGTTAGAGAACTTAAGGCTCAGCTCCGACCCATCACACGGCGTAGCCATCATGGGGGTTCTGGGAGATTAAATGAGAGCATGCGTGAACAGAATCTGGCACACAGTAGGTGCTGAGTAAACGCAAGACAGTGGGAATCGTCCTTGTGTAGTGGCATCTATGTGCTGCCTCTGCTTCTTGGAAGTTGGACTTTCATGAAACCTGATCATGAGAAAGCTAGGACACAAAAAAGCATGTGTTCTATTTGGAAATAACCACTGAACCAGCCTGTCCTGGTGCTTCCCTGATGCAGACAGCCCTGAAACACTCTTGAAGGCAACTGCTAGCCCATGAAGGCCAACAGAGCTTGCTCATTGCTTTAGCCCAAGGGTCTTGGTGGTGGAAGTCTCGGAAATCGCACAGCAGTGGGAAGGATGAACTGCTTTGTACAAAGCACCTGTGACGTTCAGTGGTGTTTAATTTTTAAGCATTCTATCTTATGTTTTTATTGCCAGAGAGAAAAGCACCCCTAACAGGGCATGCTTTTTCCTCCATTTTTCCATCTCATCAGGATTTGAGGCATACTCACATGTGTCTAGCATTTTTTTTTCTTTTTTTCTTTTTTTGGAGCGGTGTTTGCTATAGGGTGCATGCGCTTGCCAGAAAGACAGAAACAGAGAGACAGAGAGCGAGAAATCACTCCCCAGGGGGGATGACCATGCCACAGTCCCTTCTCCTCTATTCTCTTCTCAGGATCTTGGGCACACACACACACACGCCCAGTATGTGTTCAAGCCACCGGGTCCGGGACTTGAACTACAGTCAACTACATGGAAGTCCAGTGACACAGCCATTACGCTAACTGCTAGTCCCTCTAGCATTTCTTTTTCTAAGCTGTTGGGGCCAGGATTCAAACTACAGTTATCCCTGAATGCTCTAGTTCCCAATGAACTGCAGTTAAGCACTGCACTACACAGGGCCGACTCCAAGCTAAAAAGCATTCTACCACACATCTCTGGAGAAGGCGATAATGCTGTCTAAGTCGGTAACTGATGGAGTACACAGGCTAGCAGTGTAGCCGGAGCTCTTCTGTCCTGCAAGGAGGAGCATACAGGTGATTTCGATATAAGCATTCATTTTAATCCATGGAATTTGAGTCCAGGATTGTAGCAGTTGAATGGAAGAGTGAAAGAAAATGGCACATACTCCCACGGGGTGGAAGGGGAGCTTTGTTAGGAGACACTGAACTTGTCCTCAGGGTACCAGTGATGGCTACACTGACAGGCATGGAACCCTTTCACCTCCTGCGTGTGAATTACAGCCTCCTCGCAAGAGCCCTGGCTTGGGACCTCAAAGAAGCCCTTGGGTTGAGCTGAAATATGCACCGCTGTCTTTATCCTCGAGGCTCCACATTCCTCGAGTTTAAACATGCATATGTTGGAGGCACGTGTGGGTTCCTCCTCAGAAGCCCTTTGACTCCTGCTGTCCTCCCTCCTCGTACAGGATGTCCTCTGGGGTTTTATGGAAAGGACTGTGCGTTGATATGCCTGTGTCAAAACGGAGCTGACTGCGACCACATCTCTGGGCAGTGTACTTGCCGCACGGGATTCATGGGGAGGCACTGTGAGCAGAGTGAGTATGAGAGCATGACCTCATAGGAGCTGCCTTCTCTCTAGCACCCATTGAAAGTATTCAGACAGAATATTGCAAGTTCACGCCGTCAGCTGGTTACCTCCTAGCCCAGTTAAATGTCCCCTCCCCGGACCTGGCCTCCCTGGCATCATTGCTGGCTGTCTTCCCCCGAAAATTCTTCTTCTGCATAAAATACTTAGTGCTGTGGGTGGAGAAGGTGTGACTACAGAAATGAAGACAGAATTCACATTTTCCATTCTGTTCCTGCTGGCTTTCTTCCTCTTCTTTTTTTTTTTTTTTTTTTTTTTTTTTTTTTGTACCATGGCTGCTCCAAGCTTTAAAAGAGCCAGTCAGGCCTTCTCCACAGCAGAGGTAGAACCAGGTCTCCTATCAGAGGACAGTGAACGAGGTGGGAGGAAGGATGGCAAGGGGACAAGTCTAGGCAAACATGCTACCTTTGGACAACCTCCTTGAGAAAGTACTTTTATACTCTTTCCACTGTTTTAACAACCTTCAAGACAAGGTTGCCTTACACTGTATTTATTGCTTTAATTTTTAAAAACCCCATTCAGGTAGGATATATTCTGTTGCAATTACCCATTCTTATTTTTCCACTATCACCCCACTACTTACGCATCGGCTCACAGGGTTATAAGAATAGTAGCCTGGAACTGAGAACTTCAGGTTAGTTTATCATTCCTCTTCTTGTGACTTTCACTCAGCATTGGAGATGAGTAGATAAGGGCGGAGGGCCGTGTGGGGCTCACTCTGGTTAAAGGCCTTGAGGCAGGAAAGGGCATAGGATACTTCCATTCATTCACCGTGTCCCTTGGGATGGTGCAGCAGGGATTACTGCAGGAGCGGGAGGCCTGGGAAGGTCGATCTGTAGAGCGGGACTTGGGAATAAAGCATCCATGTCACTCCACTCCTCTGGTACCTCACATACCACTGGGCAGCCAGCTCATCTCAGTCTGTGTGCTAAACCTGGGGATAGCTTTTCCTGCCTTCCCTATAGCAAATGCCACCAAGTGACATCCAGGAATCAAGACAAAGATGTCCGAATTTTAGTTTCGCATTACTGTTTCATTTCATTGTGAAACATATACTGAGTCACACAGTTCCATGCATGCCCTTCTTTGTGTATGTAAATTGTGTGTGTGTGTGTGTGTGTGTGTGTGTGTGTGCGTGTGTAAATGTCTAAACATAGGGATAGAAACCAGAAGAGGCTCTCCACTGACTTTCACTTGAATTCCAGGCAACTGGTTAAGAGCTTATTAAATAAAAATCTCTTAAGTGTTTCTGTGATTACTCTGAACATCAAATTAAAATGTCCCTATTTTTTGAAGTCTTCTCCCAATGTTCATTTGTAAACAGAAGGCCTGTGTTTGACAGAGCTCTGATAATTAGTGCATACTGCCCCCTGCTGCTCACTTTGCAAAAAAAAATCAGTGTTTTGACAAGATGATAAGATTCCATCCACCTACAGAATTGAAGTCCTCGCCCACCTCTTATTAAGACCACATCATAAGAATCCCACTCTTCTAGTTTCTAAGACTTCAGCTTATAGATACAAAGTCTGGCTCATTAGCTAGTAAATGAGTTTTATGTAGAAAATTAACACAACATGTCCCCTTTCTCTTCTGCTCCTAACTAATCCCAGTGAGAATGTTTTTAGGAGGATACCTGAGCGTACTGAAAAATATATATGTTTTTAAGGAAGCACCTCTACCTTAAAAAATAACCTTATTTTTTAAGTCTAGTCTACTCCCAGGGCAGTTTTGTCTGGTCGAGTCATCTCAAATTGCCCTCTGATTATTTCCACCTGTTCCCCGGGAGTCCAGACGCTCCCTACATACACTTCCAGGAGGGCAATGTGTCACAGCTGAAAGTGCTGGGAGCCAAACATTGGGGTAGATCAGTTTCTTTCTCTCTTTTTTTCTTTCTTTCTTTTTCTTTTTTTTTTTTTTTTTTTTTTTTTTTTTTTAAAAGCATTTTTTTTATAGGTCTACATGTGCTCACTGGAGAGACAGAAAGCAAGAAATCACCCAGGGCAAATGACCATGCTGCAGTCCCTTCTCCTCCATCCTCCTCTTGGAATTTTGGGTACGCACAGACACGTGCTTGGCTTGAGTTTCAAGTTGCTGGGTCAGTACCCAAAGTGTGGCCGGCCACATGGGAGTCCTGCCACGTAATCATTACACCGTCTGCTGGTCCCAGGCAGCTCAGTTTCTAGCTCTGTGCAATCTGAGCCGTGAGTCCCACCCTGATTCAGGGAATGCTGTTCAGCTCTGGAACACCTTGAATGGTGCATGTCTTCCTAAATAGGAAAACCCGGGAAGGGCTCACTTCTGGGTGCACAGGGGTGCCCTGTGAGAGTCAGCCTTGCTCCAGAGTCCCAAGACGGGGAAACTACATTGAGTTTTGTCTCCTCCAGAGTGCCCTGCAGGGACATATGGCTATGGCTGTCGCCAGATATGTGACTGTCTCAACAACTCCACCTGTGACCACGTCACAGGGACCTGTTACTGCAGCCCAGGATGGAAGGGGGCACGGTGTGATCAAGGTAAGGATGCTTGTAACCATAGCTACGACCTGGTACCAGCTGGTGGCAGTACTTTCACGTGTTACCTGATGTCGTCCTCAGCACGACTCTGCAAAGCGTGGCTGCTTACTAGGTGCTCGATGAATGCCTTATTATTGCTGTCCCACAGATAAAGAAGAGGTAGTTTCCACAAGGTCACATGACCAGTGTATAGAATAATGACTATAAGCCAGATTTGTCATATTCCAGAGCTCATGGACTTTCTACCGTGCCTATGGCTTTTTTTTTTTTAAGCCTTATTGAGGTATAATTGACATTAAATGCACACACATCCTTGAAGTACATAACTTTATAAATTCTGACATATGAGGCTGACCCTGTGGCCTAAGGATTAAGGAGGCCAGATCACACATAATTGACCACAGTTTGAAACCCTGCTCAGGTAGATTGAAAAACATACCAAACACATGTGCACGCACACTCAAAATCCTGACAGGATTGAGAAATGGAGAAGAGATTCAGGTATGACCATGCCCCAGTGGGAGGATGCTTTTCTATTCTCCCTCTGTCTTCGTGTTTCTATCTCTCTCTCTGGCAAGGGAGGCCCTCTGGCAAATTAAAAAAAAAAAATTATTGGAAAGTGAGACCTCTGGCAAATTAAAAATATATATATATATATACGGCATACTTATACTCTCATGAAACTATCACCAAAATAAAGACAACACCCATCACTCTGTAAGTCTCCTCATCCCCTCTTTGCTACCACACCCCCTTAGACCCCATTTAATGATTGACGTTCTGTCTCTGCAGATTAATTTGGTAATCCATTATTATTAATTATCAGGAGGTAATGTGAGAATGCCATATAAATGGAATTGTACTGTACTCTTTTCTTTCTGTCTGGTTTTATTTACTCAGCATATTTTGAAATTGAAATATGTTGTACGTACCAACAGTTCTGTTCTTTTCATGGCTGAGTAGTATTCCATTGTATACCATACCATAACTTGTTTTCTCATTCATCTGTTTCTAGTCTCTGCCTATACAGATAAATCTCCTATGAACAATAGAGTACAAGCCTTTGCTGTCATTCATTTTGATTCTCTTGGGTAAATACATTCCACTCCACCTAGGAGGGGAAGGATTTAGTCATAGAGTAGACATATGTTTCACTTTTGAAGAACTTGTGTCACAATTTTTAACTAGGATACGTATCATAACCACCTGAGAGTGGTCCCACTTGGGCAATTCTGATTTTGGATTACATGGGGCTTCTGGTGGTTCTGAACCATGCCCTCCAGGAAGCCTCAGCTTCTGCGTGTGGTAGGTACTTTTTATAGGCAGTAATCAGATGGGCTGTTTGCTTTTACTTCCTTCCAAAAGGTTTAGGAAATGCAGCGTTGTACATGGAATCATCTTAAACACCATAGGAATTTACAACACTTGATTTCTTTCATTAAACAACTTTTACATGCTCACGATTAACATTTGACTGTCATAATAATAGGATGCTATATTTCATGTCACGTCATTATTACAGATGTGTGGCACTCTCACTGCAGTGGCCTTGGTGGCCTGGGTGCAGGACAGACTGTTTTATAAGAAGGTCATTTAACACAGCAGTCTCCAACATTTTGGGGCACCAGGGACCAGTTTCATGGAAGACGATTTTTCCACAGACTGGGGCAGGAAGGTGGGAGGATGGTTTAGGGTTGATTCAAGTGCATTACTCTATTATGCACTTTATTCCTGTTACTACTGCACTGAATATATAATGGAATAATGATTCAGCTCACCATAATGCAGCCTTTGCAGCCACCCCCCAGTGCTAGCGTCACCACCTCAGCTTCACCTCCGATCATCAGGCATCAGATTCTCATCAGCAGCATGCAGCCTCCATCCCTTGCATGTGCAGCTCACAGCAGGGTTCACACTCCTGTCAGATTATAATCTGCCACCCATCTGATGGAAGGTGGCTCAGGAGGTAATGCGAGTGATGGGGAACAGCTGTAACTCCAGGCGAAGCTTTGCTCCCTCCTTGTCGCTCACCTCCTGCTGCGTGACCTGGTTCCTAACAGACCCCACGGTCTGGGGTTGAGGACCCCTGGTCCAACATTTAGAATCATGAAGCCATCAGAAAATTCCTTTGAGCTGGAAACGGCTACATAGAGGCCAGTTCCCTCACTTACAGAAGATGAAACTGTAGCCTAAAATGCTTAAGGGAAGGTTTTGAATTTTTGGGTCGATTTTTTTTTTAGATGCCAGGTTTCTCCATTCTGAAGTCCTCACTGGATAAACCACAAGGAAGAAATATGAAAAGAATTTTGAGTTTAACAAATAAGGCTTTAGGGTGACATTATCAGGTGTTACCAGGACAAATCTTTCTGTTACGGAAAATAACTTTGCTCAGAACAATGTCTTCTGAGGTAAAAGCCCCACTGACAGTGGTCTGCAGTTTAAGATGACTCCACCTTCAACACTGCATGTTCTAAAGCCTTTTACAGCCCATCTGCTTGCTGCCTACCAGAAAGTACCTACCACATCAGGAGAAGCCGAGACTCTGGAGGGCATGCTTTAGAACCAACCAGAAGCACTTTCTCAAAGGCCCCCTGTACCCCCAAGTCGGAATTGCCCGAGTGGAACCACTCCCAAGTGATTATGATATGAAATTAAGGCAGAGCCTGTCCTTCGGTCTAGGTTTACAGTGAGGTTATACTTCCTCGAAGGGAAAGTTACTTTAAGAAATAGTTAAGGATGGGCATAAAATTAAAGTAAGCAGTCGGGGCGTTTAGGATTTAGCCCTAAGCTCCACACTGGAGAGTAAATAAAGCGAAAATAAAAAGTAGATAAGTTATTACCTCACACCAATCGTTAGTCCAGGTGTTTGGTCTGAAGTATGTGCAAAACTCCTAAACCCTGCTTTTGAGTCTTTGGGTTCAGGAAATTCTATGTCCTGCTGCCACTCACAGCTGCCTTTCTCTAAGCACAGATGAGTCAGTGCCATCTGAAAATGAAGGATGCTTGCTTTTCCTTCCCGCTCTGTTTCCAAAAGCTCCCAAATTAACATTTCATGAACTGAAAATATCCAGGCATTAGCACAGTGGGAGGTTTTTGTAACTAGAGAGCTAACATTTACCCAGCACACTGCCACCCCTCCTCAAGCCTCCTTTCTCCTTTCTCTAGCTGGTGTTATAATAGTTGGGAATCTGAACAGCTTAAGCCGAACCAGCACTGCCCTCCCTGCCGACTCCTACCAGATCGGCGCCATTGCGGGCATCATCATCCTGGTCCTGGTTGTGCTCTTCCTGCTGGGCTTGTTCATTATTTACAGACACAAGCAGAAGGGGAAGGAGTCGGGCATGCCCGCCGTTACCTACACCCCTGCCATGAGGGTCATCAATGCAGACTATACCATCTCAGGTAAGGGAGCCACGAGAAGCACCTCGCTCCTGGAAAAGCAGGTTTCATCCTGGTCCTTTGAAACTGGATGTTTAACGGCACTGTCCATGGTATCTGTCAGTTCCCCCGGAGAGAATCGTGTCGTCTGGTTAGCGATGTGTTTTATACCTTGACAGTAGTAAAATCATTGCTCTGTTGTTTTCTGTGAGGGTGATAAAATTGAACTACTGTGTGGTGGTTTGAGATTTAAGGCATTTCCGTTTACAAGGAGCTTTGCTGGGGGTTCAGTCCCAGCCTTTAAGGGGTCATATGTGGGGGGCCAGGAGGGGAGAGGAGAGCGTAATTGTCACAAGGCCATGGAGCAAATCGAGGAGGTGGACCAGATCTCTGTCTCCAGTCTCTGGGGTGCTCGCTGGGAAACCTCCCAACTTCTCTCTGGACCCACATGAATCAGCACCTGAAGAGAACCAAGGGAACAATGTTTGGGTATTAGCAGAAATAAAGGCAGTCCTTTAAGAAAGCTGTTTGTGAAAATAATAAAGGTTCTTTTTGACATAGCAAAAAAAAAAAAAAATCTCTTTTGAATCTTCCTTCCTGACAAGTCCCCATAAAGTAAAAGAACAACAACAACAAAAGTGATAAGTGACATGCTCAGTCATTGGAAGGAGTAATCATTTAAACTGACGGATTTGCAGACCTCAAACTTTTATCCCATTTTGGTCAGTTGCTGAAGGATCTCAGGTTGGCTCCATGCCTACATATGCAGTGACTTGGGGGCTACAGAAAGTAGCTGGTTTACAGAGTCAGGCATTTTCAGGGCGACGTTATTGTGCCAAGACCTCAAGTGTCTAAAAAAGGAGGAATGTTACAACAGAAGTAGCTTCAAATGATATTACTGCCTTCCCAGCTTGTACAGGCCCAAAGCAGGGAGAATTGTCTGTGAATACTTTCACACTTTCCAAGAAGGCAGGAGGGAAGGCAGACCTCTGCTGCTGAGCAGGCCTGACTGGAGGGGACTCTCCAGCTTGTCCTACTGAAGAAGTTCCAAAACTTATTCTGCTACTTTTCCCCCTTTTCCACACAAATTTAGGGGAGCCTACTGTCTTTTTTTTTTTTTTTTTTTTTTTTTTTTTTGCTATAAAGTATAAGTGTACATGCTCACTGGGGACACAGCGAGAGCCCCACACAGAAAACTAGAAATCACCACCCTCCCCAGGGAGATGGCCACGCTGCAATTCCTTCTCTTCCATTCTCCTCTCGGGATTTTGGGCACACACGCACATGTGCCAGGTGTGAGTTTCAAGCCACCAGGTCCAGGGCTCAAACCACGGTCAGTCATGTGGAAGACCAATGCCTTACTACTCTGCCACCTGCTGGCCCTGAGCCTACTATCTTAACCATTTCCCTCTCTTCTTGCAGAGACCCTTCCTCACAGCAATGGTGGAAATGCTAACAGCCATTACTTCACCAATCCCAGCTACCACACCCTGACTCAGTGTGCCACGTCCCCTCATGTCAACAATAGAGACAGGATGACCATTGCCAAGGTGAGGGGACACGGCATGTCCTAGAAGGTGGGCGGGGGGGGGCGGAGAGGAAAGAGCAAGCACTCACTGAGGACTGCTCTTTCCTAGATGCTGCTCTGGGTACTTTATTTGATGGTCTCATTTAGTCTTCTAGACAATCCTCTGGGTATGTCTTGGGATCTCAGGTTTAGTGACAGAACCCAGAGTAACAGGGAGTTTAAGCTGCTTCCAAACGGTGCCCAGGTAGTGAGCGAGGCTGCTGCTGTGTGAGTCAGGATCTCCCTGTCTCTGCGGTCTGTGCTATTCCACTACGTCTCCCTGAAGAAAAGCTTCTAATGTTACGTAAGATTTTTATACAATGCCGCATGATACCATTAATAAAGCATAAAACATACAACAGAGCCAATTCTGGGTAAAATGGGCAAGTTTTATCTTTTATTTTGGAGAGGTTTTTGCCATAGGGCATGTGCACTCCCCAGAAAGACAGAGACAGAGAGACAGAAAGTGAGAAATCACCCCTCGAGGGGATGGCCATGCCGCAATCCCTTCTTCTCCATTCTCCTCTCCGGATCTTGGGCACGCACGCACACATGCCCAGCGTGAGTTTAAGCCACCAGGTCTGGGACTTGAACCGTGATCAACTACATGGGAGTCCAGTGACATGGCCATTACGCCAACTGTTGGTCCCCAGTTTTATCTTTTCTGACTACCCGTGCTCCAGTACTCTTCCCTTTTTAAAGAAACAACCATGATGAAATCCTTTTATTTGGGTTGAACCATGTGAAGTGGTTGGTTTTGTAGTTCAGAAATGGACAGTTGACAACTTAAATACTGTATGCCTAGCATTCCTAATCACTTTGCAAACGTAAACTAATGTGGTCTTCATACTAGTCCTATGAAGCAAGAGTGATGATTATGCCCCATTTTACAGATGAAACTGATGACAGAGAGGCTGGAGACCCAGGGCCGTCTAGGATAGGAGCTCTTTCTGTATCAGCCTCCAGTCATACCAGGGCTTCTTCCACCGTGCTCTGACATTCCAAACATTTTTTTCCCTTCCAGTTGTATTCAAATTTATTTCCAATCTCCATGGTAATTCCAGTTCTTTATTAGGAAAAAGAAAAAAAAAATCAAGCTGATTAAATTAACCCAGTCATAATTTCATTAATGCAGCTAGATTTTAATTATAGTGCCTTGTAGTTAAATGGATTTCACATCCTCCAGACACTTGCATATTCATCATTCTGTGTGGTCTCAGATGTGCAGGGAGAGAGGCAAGTCAGATAGTGGTAGCCCCATGTTTATATCTGGGGAAGCTGCTGAGTCGCCTGGGACTCCTACAAGATCATACAGTTCTTGATGGGAGAGCTTAGACCAAGGAAGTTCCACGTGTATGAACCCAAGTAAGGTCTAAGTGGCACAGGATGACAGAGCGGAATGGAGAACGTGACATGGTGGAGGGTTTGCTGGGGTGGAGGGACACATACACCTACTGCCTTCCCGGTCCATACAGGTTGACCACCGTCACCTGGACCCCTGGCTCAAGCCCACGTAGGACTGTCCTTGAATATGTTGTGAACTTGGCTCTCCCCAGATCGGTAACACTTCGCCAGGTCACAAAATGTCTTTTACTGTTTCTGTCTTTAATAGTCAAAAAATAATCAGCTGTTTGTGAATCTGAAAAATGTGAATCCCGGGAAGAGAGGCCCCATGGTGGACTGCACGGGGACACTGCCTGCAGACTGGAAGCATGGCGGCTACCTGAATGAGCTGGGTGAGTTCTCCCCCATCTCCCTGACCAGCACCTTTGTCCTTTAGGTACCTGAAACGGCCATAGATCAATGCTGTGCCAAAGCGATTTATTGTACACGTGCATCAAAAAGCAAAATAATAGTTTTATAAAATAACACCTATGTAGAGTTTATGACTGTCTCAAGTTCTTTCTTTATTCAACATTTATTGATGCCCTACTATTGGTAAAAGGAGACACGGACTTCTGCCTGCTTCTCACTCACATTCTAGCTCGATGCACATACACGTAATTCTTACAAGTATTCTTTTTTTAAGTTTGCTATAGGGCACGTGTGCTTACCAGAAAAAAAAAAAAAAAAAAAAAAAAAAACAGAGAGAAAGAAGTGAGAAATCACCTCCCAGGGTGGTTGGACACACCGCAATCTCCTCTCCTCCATTCCCCTCTCAGGATTTTGGGCATGTGTGCACCTGTGCTGGCATGGTTTTCAAGCTGCTGGGTCTGGAACTCAGACTGCTCAGTCAGCCATGTGGGTTTCAGCTGCCGTCACCACCGCCACGTCACCAGACTGGTCCACAAGTCTTCTAATAGGTAGGGTGGTTTGCCATCATCCTGTCCCTGTTACAGCAGAGAAACGGAATCCTCAGAGGTTAAGCAGCTTGCACAGGGCCTTATGGAGCCTGCTGAAAAAGATGAGGGCTGGTGTTTGAGCCCTCTCGGCTTGGCTGTGTGCTCTTCTCTGTTTTTTTTTAAAAATAGGACATACATACTTGAGATCTCGTCCCTATGTATTTTTATGCCAGAGGGTATGTAAATGGGTGGGTACTCGGTCATGCCACAGTCTTTTTTTTCTCCCAGTTCTCTGTTAATAATTTCATTTTATGATCATGTGAAACCTATTTTCATGAAAATGAACATTCCTCAGACAAACAAGAAATGAGTGAGAAGACTGGCACTGTTTTATTATTTTATAACTCTGTAATATCTGCTTTAATAGAAAACTGTTAGGTTCTACTTCTGCATTCAGTCAGTTGTGATCTCACTCTTGGTATAGCTTCTGGAAAACTCCACCATACTCTTGAAAAAGAATTAGCGTGTAAAGGACAAATGATGTCATATTATTATGAACATAACCTTGGCCTCAAGGACCTCATGAAAGGAGGGTGGGATACCGAGTTCACACTTAAATTCCATGATTCATTGTTGAGTATGTGCTACTCTTTCCAGACATGTACCCTGTCTTCAGGGAGAAGCTTGACGATATAGCAGCTAGCAGCCCTGTGGCACCTTTTGGCATTTATTTGGTGCTAAGATTGCCAGGAAATTCAGTTAATTTTGAATATCCTATAAGCAACAAACATTGTTTAACATAAATATATCACAAATAATGCATGGGACATACACCAAAAAATATTTATGGTTTTGTTAAAACTCAGATTCAGGGACCAGCAGATGGTATAATGGTTGTATCACTAGACTCCCATGTAGTTGTCCGTGGTTCAAGCCCTGGACCCGGCACCTTAAAACTGACGCTGGGAACATGTGTGTGTGTGTCCAAGATCCAGGGAGAATGGAAGAGAGGGGATTGCAGCAAGGCCATCCCACCTGGGGGGTGATTTCTCCCTTTCTGTCTCTCCAGTGAGCATATGCACCCTATAGCAAAAATATATCTCTCAATAAAAAATAAAACAAAGAACAAAGCAAACAAAAAAGCCCTCAGATTTAACTGATCTTCCCGAATCTTTATATTTACTAATTTCGGCAATCCTATTGAGTAGACTCTCCCGCAAATCTTGTTTCATAGAGGAAGAAACTGGAAGCACAGAGAGGTTAACTCTTTTGTCCACAATTTCATGGAAAGAAGGACGCAAAGCAAGATCACAAAGAAGGTCTTTGGCTACTTCCTCGCTGATTCTTCTCTGAATATGTCAAATTGCCTGAGTCAGACAGAGGAAACGACCCCTGGGGATTCCTGGGGACTCTTATTCTTGAAATAGAAGCGTTTCAGTAGAAAAATGAGTCTAAATTCTTAACATTATTTGCATTCTGTGCCAATAGTTTCAATAGGACAGGTATTACTAAACAAAGTAAAATTATAAAATTATGTATATATCAGATTCACAATATGCTTACTGGTCAAGTCAATTAACATTAAAGGAGATTTTACATGATCTCAATTACATTTATAATTTAGCTCAAAAGTATGTGAGTTAACATTCAGTAAAGGCCAACCAGCACTAATGAAGGAGAAGTTGGTCTATGTTAGCCTGCTGTGATTCGTTCTGACTTGAGACCTACAAAGCCACTGCACTGGTCACGTTACACACCTGTGCTTTCCGTGTCGGTGAGTCCAGGATTCTGGTTACTGGGAATACAGAATTTTCACTGGAACTTCTGAACCTTTCATTTTCTTTTATCCAAGAGTAGTTCTGCATTTAGTGTCCCTTAAAAACTGCTGCACAGAACAGCCCTTTCTTACAAAGTAAAACACACTGTGGATGATAAGGTGTGTAGGTGTTTTAAATGATGGAACAGTCAAAATGATGGTATCTGAAAGTCCTGACCTTGACACAAAAAGCTCTCAGAGATCAATTCGTGATTCTGTTATATGCCAGGAGGACAGTCACCCTCAGAGTTGACTTGTTCATTTGTAGGAAGGGGGTACGGATCATGCCCTGGCTCCTGTGTGAATTTGGTTAGAGGTAGCTGGTCTCAAGTCCCAGCTCTGATACCCCAATTTCCTGCCACCCCATGCTTTTCCTCTTTTTAATCCTTTGGGGAGGGCTTGGTCTTCAAACAGCTATGACTGGGGTAGACATCTAACAAGGCTTTCTATAGTTTGGAGCTGGCCAAGGGAATTTGGCAACACACATAGAGCTCCTTGATAAGGTTGCTCTCAGAGGCCACAGCCCCTGCCCCATCTTCACTGGGTCTCCACAAAATCCTGGAGACCACAGGGCCACTGTCACTGACACCAACCACAAATTCGAAGATCACCGAGACCACTCTCAGGATCAGTAGTTTGCAGGAAGGAATAACAGAACTCACTGAATGCTATTATACTCATGGCTGTGGTTCATCGTAACAAAAAGATGCAGATTAATTCAGCCAAGGGAAGAGATGCATGGGGCAGACAGGAAAGTTCAAATCACGCTGCTCCCAGTCGTCCTTCCTCAGGGGAGTCATAAACAGAGACTACATACAGAGTACTGCCACCCCTCCCCCTGCCCCAGCCTTCGTATCTGGAGACTTTGGGGGTCTCATCACATAGACATGGGGTTGACATTGTCTCTGCCCTTCCAGGGGCTGAGCTGATACTGCAAGGCTCAAATCCACCCATCACAAATTGCTCTGTTAGACTAATAAAGCTTAGCTCTGGACCCCAGGTAAACAAAAATGCGGCTTTGGGACAGGATATTCTAAGGACATAGAGATCACCTCTCAGGAGCTGAGGTAAAAAGCCAGACCTTTCTTTGATGAGGCTAATTCTTTACCTCTTATCTTACAGAGGTACAATCCTGTGCCCTTCCCACCAGCTGGGAGCTTGGCTAGACCCAAGACAGTGCAATTGGGAAAGTGAATTGTTCTCATTTCCTGTCCCTGGGTGGTTAGACACACCCTGTCCTTTCAGGAGAGCCTCTCTCTTTCCCCACTCAAGTGAGCCTTGCTCAGTGGTCCCCACGGGGCATGGGGCATCGTCTTCAGAGCTCGGGTTTAACTGTAAGCGATGAATGCACAGCAGCAGGGGAATCATTGCCTTAACAAACACTTATTGGCAGTGTTCATCACGAGTCATTACTTGACTCTGCTTTTCAACTGAGTCTATAAGACATCTCTAAAAGACCACGGATAGCACCCTGGAATGCTTCAGATAGACTGAAGTTGAGGTAGTCGTTGAAGCTCCATCCATTTATAGAGGTGCTTCAGAGTATGCAAAGCCTTTTTGTATGTTCTATTTCTTTTTTTTTTTTTTGGAGAGGTTTTTGCTATAGGTGCGAGCACTCACCAGAAAGACAGAGAGACGGAGAGACAGTAAGTGAGAAATCGCCCCCCATGGGGGATGGCCACGCCGCAATCCCTTCTCCTCCATTCTCCTCTCGGGATCTTGGGCACACACGCACACGTGCCCGGCGTGAGTTTAAACCACCGGGGGTCACCTACATGGGAGTCCAGTGATATAGCCATTACACTAACTGCTGGTCCCTGTATGTTCTATTTCACTTCATGATGACAACAACCCTGAAAGGCTGGTAGGCAGTTTTTATTTTTCCAATTTTAGAGATAAGAAGATTGACAGAGTTGAACATCTTGCCCCCAGAATATGACTAAGTGATGAAATCTAAGTCCTTTGTCTCCATATCTTTTTTCTCTCCATTGTCACAACCGAGCTCCAACAGAATCCTCAATTCCCATAAAATATTAACAATGCAAGTTAGCATGTATACACGAGGGGTGAGAAATGTATGCATGTTGGACTATTCACTTCGCAAACTAAGTAACGTGATTAAATGTATAAAAGAATTTGAAATAAAAAATTTAAAGAAAAAATAAAGTTTTAAAAAATGTCCTCTTATTTTCTTAAGAACATTATGTATCTGTGATTAACCGATGATATTTTATATAAAGTACCTATGAGCTGTTGATTCAGTAAGTGGCTGCACCTTCTGTCTACATGCTCTTCTCAGTGAGAGCAGGGTCTACATGCTTAACTTTTCTCAGTGAGAGCAGTAATGGTCTTCTGTTTCACTTCCCAAACAACCCACTGCCCCCAGAGAGGTCAGATATTTTTAAACAAGAAAGCCATCTGTTTTGTCTTTCTGGGCTCATACACGATTATGCACCCATGTCTAGAAAAGTCAAATCATTAAAATAAAACCGAAGAAAGATGGGCAAAATCTAGTATTGACCTGTAACATGTTGGTCAACAGCAGATGAAACATCCTATCTTTCCCTCACGTGCCCATAGTGGAGACAAGTGTTGGTCAACAGCACTTGAAACATCCAATCTTTCCCTCACGTGCCCATAGTGGAGACAATAAAACCCAGAATAGGGTTATTGAGGAAACAATTTGAAAACCGCCAAAACCTGGAAAGATCTGCACACAGGTGCAATTCTCAGTTCTTGCCTTGGCTGTGTCCTTGTCTCCACCATTCGGCCTTGAATCAAGTATAATGGCCATCGCTGTCGCTTCGTTGTCTACCCATGTTGATCAGCCTTTCCCATGGTCACCATGTATATCGTGCTGGGTAAAGTCTCTTCACAATCTAAATGATGTCTAGCAATTTAATGTATGAATCATAACAAAAATATATATAAATAAAAAATATTAAAATAAATTTTTTAAAAAAGCAGAAAAAAAAAAAGGAGCAACAAAAAGGAGCAGAAGAATGGTGTGTGTGTTGTTCAGATTGAAGAGCAACAGCCTTGGTTATTTGCTACGGTTGAGCTCTTCCTCCACTCCCTTGGAATAGGACAGGGGTTTTCTCTGCCTTGCGGTTCTCACTGGGTGTTTCTTCATTTATCGCAGGTGCTTTTGGACTTGACAGAAGCTATATGGGAAAATCCTTAAAAGGTATTTTGTAAATTTGAGGAAGAAATATATGTTCAGAATTACGATTTATCTTTTTTTAATCTCAGAGACTGAAATAATATGTTAAACAAGTAAGAGTGGCAGTGTAGAGATAATGCAGACTGTGTAGGTGGTAAATTGTCACCCACAACACAAACGTGTTTGACAGGCATGAAGAAAGTGAGCTGAGGCGGGTCTTAGGGCGTAAGTCTTGGGGAATAGAGGTTTCCGTTTGCTGAGGAAACGCTATTTTCTTTTAAAGAAATTTGTTTTATTGAGAGAGACAGAAACATTAAAAAAAGAAATGGTAGAAAAAAGAAGTGATCAGCTTGTTACATGTTGATTGAGGTATGTTCCTCAGAATGAGTTTGGACAATAAAGTGCCAAGACCGAGAACATACTAAGGTTTTTCAAAAATCTCTACAGCAGAATGCCTTTCTTATCATGACAATAGAAAACCTTTTTGTGTTCCTGGGATCATCAACAGCTGGTTTCTTGATTGATACCTTTGAGACTTCAAAGTAAATTTTCTGTTAGTAAAATAGAATGGAATTGTTTAAGGGTCTTCAAAAAGTTCGTGGAAAATTTGTATTATGAAAAAAGTTATGTATGAATTTAAAGGGTTTTTTGGTATCACAATAAACTCATACATTAATTCCATTTTCTGCAAACTTTGTGAAGTCCCCTCATGTTTTTTTTTTTTCTTTTTTTTTTTTTTGAGAGGTGTTTTTGCTTTAGGGCATGTGCGCTTGCCAGAAAGAGAGAGAGAGAAACAGAGAGACAGAGAGGGAGAAATTACCCCCCAGGGGGGTTGGCCACACCACAATCCCTTCTCCTCCATTCTCCTCTCAGGATCTTGGACATGCACGCATATGTGCCCGGCGTGAGTTCAAGCCACGGGGTCAGGGGCTTGAACCACGGTCGACTACATGGGAGTCCAGTGACACAGCCATTATGCCAACTGCTGTTCCCAGTCCCCTCATGTTTGAATGTGACCAGCAAAATGAAATCAGATCCATGATATTTACGTTGGTACTCATCTTAGTTACTTTATTGATGGGTGACTTTATAGACAAGTCTCTCAAAATAAGAAAATGTATAGTACTTTTTAATGTATTTAATTTTAGAAACCTAGCTATAAAGAAAAAGAAATATCCCTGCCCAAATAAATTATCACCAAGAAATGACAGTTCCCATGAAATCGCATTTGCTTTTGTTCTCCTCTCCCTCTTCACAGACCTGGGAAAGAATTCTGAATATAATTCAAGTAACTGCTCCCTAAGCAGTTCTGAAAACCCATACGCGACTATTAAAGACCCACCTGTACTGATCCCTAAAAACTCAGAGTGTGGCTATGTGGAAATGAAGTCACCGGCACGAAGAGACTCCCCCTATGCAGAGATCAATAACTCAACTTCAGCCAACAAGAATGTCTATGAAGTTGGTGAGTTCTCGCAACAATAGGAAAATCCTAGTGCATAGGATTTGTTTGTTTGTTTGTTTTTTGGGGGAGGAGGTTTCTGCTATAGGACGCATGTGCTCGCCAGACAGAGAGCCACAGAGAGACAGAAAGCTAGAAATCACCCCCCGGGGGGGATGGCCACGCCGCAATCTCTTCTCCTCCATTCTCTTCTCGGGATCTTGGGCACCACGCACAAGTGCCCGGTGTGAGTTTAAGCCACCGGGTCTGGGACTTGAACCGCAGTCGACTACGTGGGAGTCCAGCAACATAGCCATTACACTAACTGCTGGTCCCAGGAATTTTTTTTTAATTAAAGCTTTTAGGAATCCAGTAATTTTAGTCCTTATAAATCTTAATGAAAATAATGGCCCATAGTTTAAATGCAGCCTCTATTTACGGTGACCATATTAATTGGTGTCAGATGAATTCTTCAGGGAAAATCTCATTTAGAAAATCTTAAGTTTTTCTTAATGTTCACAAGTCATTCATCGTTTCTTTTGTAACCATAGTGAATATTTTAGCACATGTGGAATAACATATGTATCGTATTAGCTAATATATTGAGTTAGCCAAAGTAAATGCTTCTAGTGAATTAAACAGGTGGTTCCATTTCCTAGTTGTATTCTTATATTAATGTAATGTTTTTAGCAGAATTGGAACATTTTACTTTTAAACTTATCTAACATATTAGTACTAGTCTCAGATGTGAATCTGGTCCAAATTAGTGAAAATTCATTTAAAATGAAAGTTTTGGGGTTGTTGGAAAAGTCATGACATATTTTTTCTATGCAAAATGTTTTTCTGTGCAAAACTTTATCATGACTTTTCTGACGACCCAATATTTTCATTACTCTTCACAAAAACTATTTGAGATAACATAAAATGTACCAGAGCTTCCACTGGTTAGAAGGTAGAGCTATATATTTCTAATTCTCTCAGTATTTATGACTTTAACTTCAAAAATGTCACTATTCGTTGTCTATGAAGTGACTGATTTAACATTTTAAATTCATTTTATGACATAGCTCCATCACTTAAGAAATACTTGACCCAGTGATTAAGGGAACTGGATCCCACATGGCCAACCATGATTTAAACCCCAGCCCTTGTAGCTTGAAAAACACACTGGGCTTAAGTGCCTATGTTCCTTAAATCTCAACAGGATGAAAAGGGAGTAAAGAGTATAGTGTTACCATACCCCATCGGGGGTGCTTTCTCCCTCTCCTCCTCCACCTGTATCTCTCTGGCATATGCATACATCCTCTGGAAGAACAAAGAAATACATATATATGAACACACACACATAGCATATATGTAGCAATCTATACTTTAAAAAGTGGAAGCCATGGTGGACTAAATTTACTTACGAAAAGTCAGCAACAATTTCCCTCAAAACTGTCTCATAACCTCACTCCAAGTTCTTGGGAACCCAACCAAGAACTTGACTTTTGAGTCCTAAAGTTGTGACCTTGTTGAATGTTTCCGTGAATTGAATTAATCTATAAAGATCTCAGTCTTCTTCCCCGTAGAATAAGGAGTTCGGACTAGATTATCCCCAAGGTGTTTTGCAGACAATGATTCATATCTAGAGTTTCTTTGTGTTCCTTTGATGTCTTCATCCCAGCCACACGGTCATCCTTTTTGTTGCGAACATGACTTGTGTGGGCCACTTGGTCCAACGACCGTGCAGCTGCCACCCCTTTGTGATTATAAAAGAGTCATGTTTAAAAAAATCTTAGAAGTTTATTTAATTCATGCTAGACTGTGCACTGCATGAGAAGGACACAGAGACAGAATGGAAAGCTCTCCCAACAGGATCTGCTCACGCCATGATCACCTCCCACCCTGCCTCGAGCTTGTCAGGTTCGTAGACATGTGCACATGCATGTCTGGCACAATTCAGTTCAACCAGCGCAGAGATTCAAACCTGCAGTCAGCCATGTGCCTTCCAACACTGCAGTTCAGTACTCCTCTAACTGCTCCACACAGCCTGGGCCAGGATCATGTTTTTAAAACTCTGTGCCCTATAGCAAAAATCTCTTGAAAGAAACAAAAACAAAACTAGTTCTTTATATTTTTATAAAAGTTTTTCCTGTGTGTTCGATATGTGCAAGATATGCCATATTCTTTTTCTTTCACTTTCCATTGTTATTAAATTAATGTTTTCTTGGTTTCAAGAACCTACAGTGAGTGTTGTCCAAGGAATATTCAGCAATAATGGGCATCTCACCCAGGACCCGTACGACCTCCCCAAGAACAGTCACATCCCTTGCCACTATGACCTGCTGCCAGTCCGAGACAGTTCATCCTCCCCCAAGCAAGAGGACAGTGGCAGCAGCAGCAGCAGCAGCGAATGACACCAAAGGACCTCTGGGTAGCTGCTGGAACCATTTCTAGAACTGCAGTTCAGTTCTTCTCCATCCTCAAGCTTGCCACCCTACGTGAATGCTAGTCAACTTGGTAGGCAGTTGTGGGACATGAACCAGAAAGCTCAGAGCTCAGGCTGACACTGACTGTGGGTGCTTTTTCTACAGGTGGCTCAGAAGGAGTTGGAGACGTGATTTCTCACTACCGTTAGTTTTAGAACTGCAGCTATGAAGCATGACTTATTGTAAGATGCCGGCTAAAAGCTCGAACTTGCAGAACTCCTTTGGGTTGCAGTAGATATTTGTATGATCGCTTGAAAAAAGTAAAATTTAAATATTTTCTTCTTCATTTGCATCATAGAGCTGCACATAGGATTGTGCAGTTTACCATGAAATTTCCTCTTTGAAAGTGAGGATCACTAAACATGTACAAAAAAGGGCGCATTATTGAGTTTTATCGATCCGACTTTTCAGCTGGACAGAATTGTAGGACAATATGGATGGAGGAGGACACATCCTGTCAGGTGGTGTGACTGGGGAGACTGAGTAATCTCTAGAAGTGGATAGCAAATTGAAATATGGAAACTTTCATTTTGTTTTAGAATGAGGAAATGTATCATTAGAATTTTTTAGAAATAGTGGAAGTGTTGCAGAATTCAGTTTACAAATGTGCTAGGCAGGGATGGTTTTTCTCTCTCTTTGACCCTTGGCCCACTTTAGACTCGTAATTTATCCTGGTCATTGTCCCCATCATACATATTCACCACTTGCGATTCATAACATATCAATTATTATTTCGTAACTATAGAATGGAATAATTTTATTTTTGACAGGATGGATTGAATGAGTGTGTGATGATTGGTAAAAGTTGTACATTTCAAGTGTAAGAAGATGCTTACATTTTGTAAACCATTGGTAATACATGTTGTAATATAGAATTAGCAAAAGTTTTGATTAATTTTTCCTTAGAAGTGACCGAAATATTTTTTGTGCATATTTGAAAAAATGGCACTTTCCTTTTATTAATTGTTGATTTAGAGAAATTATGCTTAAGCTGGTCTTTTGCATTGCTAATATTACATGTGCCCCATTTTTCATTCATTCGTATTTTCATTTTTCAGTTGTATATTCTATGTTTTGTAGTGTTTGGGTTGTTAATGAAAAACTATTATATTATATGTTCATTGTTTCTTATATTATTGCCACTCATTTTTTGCTTGGTAAAAATGCATTATTCTTTTTTCTTTTGGAGACAGGAAATGCAAATATATGATTCGAATCTATTAAATTTGGTCGTTACTAAACTAATACAGTAAACATAGGCGAATGGCTTATGATTGAAATGGTGAAGCTTTTTAATATTCTAAAATGGACTTTCTTTTGATGTGTTGGTTCCCCGATTCTTGGGTAAGCCAGGAGAAGAGGGCACAGGAAAGGCCCGTTATTGACTCTAACAGACTAATCTGACTTCACTGGCATGGTCATAAGGTTGATCACAAACTAAGACGCTTTTGAGAGTAAATGAGAGCATTATTAGTAATGATCCTGCAAGGGGTTCAAATCTTGACTGTTCCAGGCAAATCTAACAGACGCTCCTTTTTGCATACTTCTCATGCAGTTACACTTGTCACGCCAAGGTAACTATCTCGTGAGAACACCGAGACAATTTGAGGGAGCAAGTCTCTGATCTACTTGAACAAGGAGAAGGATGGAAAGGCTGAATAAGGAAGAAATTTCATAGGACAAAAACAGTGGTCTTTTCTCTTTTAAAGACATGGAGTGTTCTGGTGTTCTCAGTGAGTCAATTAACAAATACACACACACACACACACACACACACACACACACACACACACATGACATTGAACTTGCCAGTAAGGATAATCAATTATTTCACATCAGCACCTGCAGATCATGTTTTGGTCAGGTAGATAACCCGACAAATACTTTTAGAACATTCTCTTCTTTTTTTTTGGAGAGGTTTTTTTGCTATAGGGCGCGTGCGCTCGCCAGAGTGAGACAGAGAGACAGAAAGCGAGAAATCACCCCCCAGAGGGGATGGTCACGCCGCAATCCCTTCTCCTCCATTCTCCTCTCAGGATCTTGGGCACGCACGCACACGCGCCCGGCGTGAGTTTTAAGCCACCGGGTCCAGGACACAAACCACGGTCGACTACGTGGGAGTCCAGCGACATAGCCATTACACTAACATTACGCTAATGTACTAGGGAACCAGCTAACTGCTAGTTCCCTAGAACATTCTCTTCTTGATGGCTGTTTCTTTTAAGGAACCCCAAAGATAACTCAAGGAAATAAGGAATGGCCTAGAACATATCATAGACACTATTCATTTATCCCAGTATTTAAACACTAGCTGACACTTGACTCCAGGTGATAGGCATCTTAACTGAGACCTGTGTGGGTCAGTCTTCACCAGGAATCCTTTTTCGGCAGAAAGAAAGACATTTTTCCATTTCTTTCTTTTTTTTTTTTTTTTAAGAAAGATTTTTGCTATAGGGTATGTGTGCTCACCAGAGGCAAAGAGACAAAAAAGTGAGAAATTACCCCCTTGCAGTAATGGCCTCACAACAGTCCCTTCTCTTCCATTCCTCTTGGGGATTTGGACATGCATACACACACACCCGGTATGAGTTTCAAGCCACTGGGGCCAGGACTTGAACCACAGTCAGCCAGCCATGTAAGAGTCCAGTGACATAATCATTGCACTATCTGCTGGTTCCTACTCCACAATAAGATTGAGTTTCCCCATTACTCCTTGGAGAGTAAAACCCAAACCACTCACTTCTTTTCTCATTCCACCATTTTACAAAGGAGAGCTTTAGGTATGAGGTTATCAGAACTTACATAAAAAACATGGGCAACAGATGTGGACGCCACAGGGTACTGCTGTCCCCTACTGTGTGTTCTTTAGGACAAACCTTCAGGACAGCTGAGGTCCTGAACAATATTTGTATCTGAGGTCATTCTTATCACAGTTTACTCAGGACTTTACAAGTATAAGAACATACGTAGCATTTGGATATGGTAAAACTACGTGTTGTATTTGGAGAGGTCTGGGAGAGAAGGCAAAATTTTGTAGATATTTTGATACAGAGCTGAGTAAAGAGACAAATACTTTTGTGAGAATGAGTATTGAAAAGAGGACAAAATAAACCTGACAAATATTTTTCCTCTGAAATGACAAACTGTGGGAACTTTTTGAGATATAACAAGTTTAATTTGGCAGTGGTGTCATTCACCCAAAGTGAATTTATTCACTTGATCTTCAAATCCATATTAATTTTCAGTCCTAAAAATTAACTTCTCCACTATATTCGATAGTGGTCATAGCAGTGAATGAGTTTGGAGATACCTAGCAAAAGCCATTTACATAGGAATGTTCGTTAAATGATTATTCTTTCCTTAGTAATTGATGTATTGACAATTTATAATTTATTAGCACTCATATATAAATACATCAATACTTGCCCCGATGATAACTCATTTCTGGTTTTAATAAGAATATGTTGTTTGTAGTTCATTATATAATAAGGAAAATTCTTCATTATTTACAGTTCTTGACGTAATCGTTCTCCCATGTTGTAGAGGTAATGTAATAGAGTCTAATGTCTTTAGCATTACCTTTATGGGACTTATGTCTACCAATTTCAGGAAAACTAACTGTAGAGTTTTATAATAGCACAGTTACAACCTGTTTCAACCAAATTCATTCATACAATGACTGTATATTGTGACAAATGCAGATAACTTCATAAAATTGTGGTCACCTTAATCCCAAACAGCCATAGCAGTTAATTGCTGGGATTTTTTATTTCATAAGTATTTCAAACGTTGAACAAGGGTATCACAATGCCATTTATAATTCATCTTGCTATCAGAAGTCAACTTCATAATTAAAATGAGATGGAATCATAAAAATTGAGTTTTAAGATTCTGCTTTATAAAACAATGAACTTTCTATAGCTGGGTAATGTGTCTTTATTATTCAAACTAAATATCTAAAAGATATTTTGGTCTTAAAGGCTTTATGTTACGGAGTGAATATACCTATGTAAGTGTGAATCACATGTGTGGATGGGTGCTTGTGTACTTACTAAAGACGTGTAGCAGACTGCCCTTACAGAGTCTGTTAATGGTGGTGTCCTAACACTGAGTCTGCTTATTCTATTTCACTAGCCCAGACTTCATTTTGATATGACTCAATTGCGATATATATTTTTAAAAGAAAAATATCAAAGTACATTAGGATTTACTTGGTTATAGTAAACAAACAAAAAAATGCTTTCAGTGTTGAAATATCTCTATTTTCCAAAGATGATAAACTTTCATCAGTATTAGCCTACTTTGTCATTTATATCATCAAATGAGTTTATAGATTAATGCAATAAACTTTCAAATAAAAGACTCTAAAGCAGTGTTTATTTCTTTATCCGATTTTACTGTTGATTGAGAGGAAAACCCTTTGACTCCTACTAGAAAAATTAATTTTTTGAATTTGTGGCCCTGTAGCACTTTACATATACATTTCAAAAACTATCATATTTTATATTTAATTGCTAGTGTATGAGGGTCTTCAAAAATTTTTATGTATGGGAACCAGCAGTTAGCGTAATGGCTATGTCTCTGGACTCCCACGTAGTCGACCGCGGTTCGCGTCCTGGACCCGGTGGCTTAAAACTCACGCTGGGCGCGTGTGCGTGCGTGCCCAAAATCCTGAGAGGAGAATGGAGAAGGGATTGTGGTGTGACCATCCCCCCTGGGGGGTGATTTCTCACTTTCTGTCTCTCTGTCTCTCTCTGTCTGTCTGGCAAGCGCACACGCCCTATAACGAAAACCTCTAAAAAAAAAAAAAAGAAGTAAAAAAAAAATTTTATGTATTATGAAAAAATTATGCATGGATTTCAAAATTTTTGCACCAGGCTAAACTCATAATTCTAGTTCTACTTTTATGTGAATGTCCTGAAGTCTTCTTGTATATGCTTTCTCTTCAGATGAGTTGTTCTTTAAGAACAGAGACAACATTTTATACATATTTGGATCCGGGGAACTCTGGTTAGTGGTTGAAAGTCAGGTCTTCTTTGGAAATAGGTTTAAGTTTACCTATGTGGTTTGTTTTCTAAATCTCATTGTCCATTGATGCTTTCATTTATAATTAAATATTTTTGAAGCATTCACCTTATAGCACTGTGTTCTAGGATAGTGTTTCTTCTCAATACTGTTATTTACTGGGGGCTTGAGTGCCAAGCACAGTTGTGAATGCAAAAAAAGTGTAAGATAATGAGCTCTTTTCAAGTTGCTCATTATTTAGTTAGAGAAATGAATCATCTTATTAGCTGTGCTACTTTGGTAAGTTAACCTCTCAAGACCTTGGTTTCTGTATTGTAATATGTTGGAAATAATAGTACTTATTTTACAGGATTTTATGAGGATTTAATAACTTTATACATGCAAAGCATTTATTCAGTGCCTGGCACATAGTAGACACCTAATAAATGTTAGCCAACATTACTATTTTGAAAAATTAGCTAATAATATGAACCAGTTTGCAATAACCAGATGAGTGATGAGGCTGGTAAATCAGATGTGAACATTTAATGAATATTATAAAAGCTATATTTTGTGTGATCAAATCCTGATCTATTTTTGTATTAACATGAAATTCCATACAAATTTTTTTTTCCAGAGAAGTAATTTAGGAAAGCAATAATAATGTGATTTCATCTTCTAGTAGCCTGTTATCTTCCCAAGAGTTAAGAATGCTTTTAAAACACGTGGGAAGATGGTGTCTTGGCCTCGCATTCCCATCCTGGATTGTACAGCCATCCAGGAAAACTCAAGGTCAGTACCTTGGAAATCTGAAGGGATCTCAAGTACAGGGAGACATCAAGTCTTTGACAGAATTGCAAGGGGCGTGGGGTAAAGATGTAACTCTGAGTTGATGGGAGGTAGTCTATTGAGTGGCTACATCATGAAGGCCAGTTGACTTGAGTGGATACACAAGGAGAAAGAAAGGGAGGAAAGTATGCTGTTTATGCAGCAAACAGGCTAACTGTCCCATGGGTGATGTCATCCTTAGAGGAGAAGTTTCCACCTTGCGCTGAGGTCAACTTATCTCTACTTAGGAACTAAAAAGCCTGCAGCCACTCACATCAACAAAGGGGTGAGACTGATCGCTGGCTACCCACTGAAAGAAAAATGCCTACCCTG